CTGGATAGCAGAAAAAGCGCTGTTTAGCCTCTGATGCAAACGCTTGATTTCGCATGTCTTAAACAACAACTGCACAACGCAGTGCCTGAGTTCCATACTGATCGGTGAACGCCGACCTGCCAAAGTTTATATTCTCGATTGAACCCGGCAAGGGAACGAGCTCGGAGCGCACTGGTTGGATGAGTCGCCTATAATGCAAGTAGTGCCGTGGCAGCAAAAAACCATAGGAACGGACACACTGCTCTGCCCGACATCGTGTCCATAGATAGATGCCCGATGCGCAACAGGAATACCACACTTCATTCTGACCCAACTTGTTACGTTGCCACTCGTCGTACCATAAGCGTAGATCTATCTTACGAAGGTCCCGTCGATGTTTTTACAGACACGAAAACAGCGTGAAAACCTCGGTGACGTAAGCAGGATAGTCCACGACCAATCTCTTTCACCAACCAGACGAATTTCACTGGATACCGGCAAGAAATCTAGCTATGTTTCACATAGGAACCACTTGAAATCAAAAAGGCACCATTAAAGGCTTTTCCCTGATGGAACTCACCAATCTCAGAGCTAGGTTAAAATAAATTTAAAAAGAATCCCACGAATTAGGAATCACATAGCCAGTATAAATTCTCGTTCGAAATGTTTTGGGCAACTGAACACTTTACCAGACAGGTCACGGCAGTCGAACTCGTTCAACATGCTACATTGGATGACTAACATCCGCAGAAGGCCGAAATCCGTTTCCCACGCTCGTACCAGATCTGCGCCGACTTGTCTGAAGAACGTTAGTCTGTGAATGTGTAAACACGCGCGAGGGAGCTCGGTTGTGGAGGCGTTGAAAAGTTTGTCAAATGAAAGAATCTAACTGGCCGGTCGGGGTATTCGTAAGCCGGTACCAATGCAGATGAATCGGGGTTTGTGAAAACTCCTTCAGGGAATCACAATACATTCTCTAAGGACAGATACATTCATATGACACCTCAGACGAACTACACAGTGTTGATTGACGCCAAGCAGTCGGTGGACCTCACTTATTCCGCACTCGATATGAAATCACCTGAACGGGTCCTACAATCAGCTTAGCAACTGTGTGCCCGGTTCTAAATTGGTATAAACGAAATGCTCCAGTTTCAGTTATTCTTTAAGATATGAGAAAACTACGCGCTACAACCAGATTCAATTACAGACGTTTTTGATAATACTTGTAACTTAAATGCAAAAAAGACACTTTTAAACAGTTAAGATTAAAGGCTTATTGGGAAAATGCCTTTACAGTGTTGACTGAAAATTATAACACAAACAGGAGTTAAAGCAATAGTAATATATCGAATGCTGAAAATGTCAAGTTTACAATGATTAAGGATGCGGCGAAAGAAACGTTTCAACAAATACACAGAGGGCGTAAAATACGGAATTTTTTCGGAAAAGAAGTGGACAGCGGTGCTATGGTCAGAAGGAAAGCTATATAAATTGGACAATTTGACCTAGGAGCTAGAGATGCCACCTGCTCCAGATCCACCAGAGAGGCCTTGTCGGGCGCTGGACGAGGCGACGACCACCCCAGTACTGTTTTGTACTTGACCAGACGCCGACTTCCTCTTGAGTAGTGACGGGTGAATGCAGGGTAACACTCCTCCGTGGCTTATGTGCACATGTTTTAGGAGTTCGTTCAGTTCGGCGTCGTTTCGTACACCCAGCATGATGTGACGAGGTGTGATAGTCTTTCTAAAGAGATCAAAATGAACCACACAGTAAGCCAGCAGCAAGCGCAGAGCAAGCAGGGGATTAAAATAGCCTAATTTGGTAGTCAGAAATAACTTGAAAGGGAACTATGCAATTTTCGAAGAAACCGGTTTTGTAGGACCGGCTTCACAGGTTCTTTTTGCGAGCCCCATTGTGCTGACTACCATCGTCCCACAACTTAAAAGGGGTGGGGTACTAAATAAACATGATAACGCCAACTAGAAGGACTCTATTCTAATAACAAAAAGTGAAACATGATTACAAACTAGCATTAATTGTTAAGAGGGGGTGGTGAGCTTCATATAAATCCAGCTTAAGAGTTGTCAACTTCGGCAAGAATTATTCATGAAGAAAACGGCATTTACGCTATGTATAAATACCACGCCGGGTTACAATTTTCTTACAGCAAATTTGCTAATAGGCAGTTATAAAAAGCACGAGTTAAAAAGATTGTTTACTACTACGAAAACAAGAACGGTAGGAGATTAACTGTACTGTCAGGTTGGGCAGAAGGTCAAATGCCAATTCCGCACAGACCTGAAACTGGCAATTATATTCTCATGTAGCACACTGCACCCCCTCCCCTTGAGTCTTAGTCTATTAAAAAAGGTATATCGACCAAAAACACAAACGTTGCCACTAGTTGGCGCGCATGCAGTTCATGTCCGGTAACTACTTTAAACTAGAAGTACCACACCGGCCAAAATTATGAATTGACAGAAAACGCTCGCGTGAAAAGGACAGATGAAATTAAACGACTCTGAGAGTTCGATAGGCAGCAGTGACAGACTACTGGCACATGGCGACCAGAGTAGTTAGTGGCCTGGAATTTCCTTCTTGAAGGAAACAGTGCGCGTAAATAAAAGAGAAAAGGAGCGGTGATCAGCCTATCATGTTTAGGAAGGTGGAAACTGCTGTGAAATAACATACTTCGGCTGACATCTTTTTAATATTGCCAGCCAAACCTAAAGAAAACAGTAAAATCTGCTGAAACCGCGAAGATATGAATGGGTGCAATACACAGAACGCAAATTTTAGGGGTCATTTGCAACATTCCAATCTATCTCCCCTTAAATTCCGTGTTGTTTTCATGGAAGGTATTGCAAGTTCAGGGATGGCGAATAAAAAAACCCGATCAGTAAGCATGCCAAAGTACAAGATCTTAAACGGAAACAACACAAATGCTTAGAATCTACAATATGCAACAAGTAGACGCTATCACTCTAGTAATCTTTAATACATCCCTTAGTGGACACAAATTTTGGAGACCACTGGACAAAAAATCTCCAACGGCGCCTACGCACGCCTTTCGTAATGTTTCAAAGAGTTCCTTTACATGCCAGCTGATCAGTAAGAGCGCCGAATGACGTCTCGACGAGGCGAAGTAGCTAATGTGGTGCAGAATTTAAACGAAATGCCCCACAGCCAAGGGTGTTTTTTGTCCACTGCAGTCGTGCCCTTACTAGACAATCCCTCAATCCTTTTATTTTTTTCAATTTAACGTTAATCTTATTATATTACTAAGCCGACGAGATAGGGCATCTTTAACGGCTGCAAACGTGATCATCTAGTAACATATAGGACAAGGCCGTCACTCGCCAAGCCAGAATGCGAAATCAATTAATCATAAAACAAAGCCCTCATTCTAACTCGGTGACTTATTAAAAACTGATTGTACGTTTTAAGATGGGAGTTCTATAAAGGTCAAATCCCTAAACGAGGTAGTGGTCTTGCTGTAACTTTGGGCAAGGCGAAATATCATGCAAAACTAAAAGCTCATACAGGCCGCGAAGCTCGGGCTATACTAAAAATAGGAAGTACCGTTTGTTTGCTTTGGCTGCATTTCCAGACAGTTCGTTAACTTCCGCAACAAGATACTCAATCACAGCTGACAGATAGACCGAAGCGGCAGTCGACGTTCTCCGAGCGTATCTACCGAGCTTCAGATAACGGTGCACACGCCCAACTGGCATAACTAATCCAGCCCTAGACGACTTTGTGTGCTTCTTCCCTCCCGCGGGCTTCCTCGCCTTTCCGCGGCCTGACATTCTAGTGGCAAAACGATAATGGACGAAAGTCCAGGAAATCCACAACGCCCGGCTCTAAATAAACTCAATGACTTAAACAAATAATTACAAACAAACAAAAATTAAAATCAAAATCGAGAACAGCATTGACCCAATCAGAATGCGGCCACAACATTTTTCAATGTCTTAGAGCATTAAATTTACTCTTAGGACGAAATTTGTGAAGCATTTTATTTATTTATTTATATTATTTATTTATTCTTCATTTATTTATTTATTTATTATTTTGCGACTGCGAGTGGACCTTGTCTGAAAATTCCCAGCGATTTGAAAAGGAGTAAAAATTAATTTGAGATCATAAGAACCCCGCAGGAATTTTTTTTCTCTCCCAGGGTCTGAACGGTTCTGAAAAGTACTTGAGACCGAATTGTACGACAGTAGTGTGGTCAGCATTACTACCCAAGTTCAGATGCTTTTCGATGAAGTGAGGCAAGCGAAATGCCAAGTGGGATCAAGCTAATACTAAGCAGAAGGCAGCCGAAATCGAACTGCTAAACTTCCCAAGAAGAAACTGAAATGCTTTCGAAATATGCAGACCTCTGTTCACTACCACTTGATGAGATACTTGCATTCGTGACGTGTACATTGCTTCATATACTTAAGCGAATCCAAGCACCAAATATATCGCAAAGATAGGTATGTTGTCACCCGTTTTCTGTGGAAAGTTCTAGATCTGGAAAGAGAGAATAACGAAATTAATATATTAATCCATTCAACCATCCTCTGCCAAAGGAGCAAATAAAAACTAAGGAAAATAAAGCAAAGGTTCCTAAGCAACGGCGCCGAAGATGTGCTTTTCAAATAAACCTTATTAAATAAAGAAAATCCTACAGCAATATGTCATACACCAGATGAAGATTTTGTAGTTGGGTCTCCGAACCAACTCGTGCCTTCAAAACTGATCGTACACAAGTCACGAACAATTCCTGAATGCATGGTTATATGTAGACCTCGTCGTATGCGTTCTCTTTTTGAGAACATGACTTCTGGCAGCAAATGCTTTAAGGAAATGTTTTCACAACGGCTGCTCGAATCTATCCTAAAAAATTCCGCGCGTTTGGCTATGATAATTTAGACATCTCGCAACTGGCTAAAATGGTCAATCGTATGGTGGAGTTTGAGCATTCCTTCGCCACAAGGGTTGCGCAGGTTTCAAAACCTATAAAAGCGGCCAGCTCTGAGATGGCCGAGCACAAAGTACAGCTTGCTCAATTTTTTGGAACTAATTTCCACTCTGGAGTTGCGCACATCTGCTGGCTTACCCAGACGTTCCTTCAACCGCGACCAGCGTTATTACCCTCTTGCCCGAGGACCGCCAACTTACGTTGGTGTCATGTTAACTTTTGCGACAGTTATCGGCGTTTTCTCCTACCCTGCTATTTTAGGTCCTCACGGGAAAACCCCTCGGTCGAAGAGTAAATGCAACCGAGCCTTTTGGCAAATCTACCGGTCGCACGCTTTATTTCTGTGACAGCAAATGTTTTCTAGTCAATATTTGCGCTCAAATTAATTTCGTTCCTCCTAATGTAGCCTAATGACGTTGCCCCAAACATTGTGTTTTCCTCCAGGTCGTAAACCACTCTCTCATCACAACGTTTGGATCCCGTTCCCTCTCCCATGAAATTGGTCTCCGGCTACTATTCCCTGAGTACTTGAAGTGACGGACATTTCGATTGCTATGTTTGGTGCTGACTTTTTAGCCACTTTCGACCCTTTTGGACTTCAAGCAACTTCGCTTTCATGATCGCTCAGTCACTTCTTTGTGAAAAATGTTCCCCATCTGCAGCTTCCGAACTTCTCTCTGTCCTTAATCTGAAACCTGATTGTCCATTTCGGGACTACCCTTGTCCTTTTCTGACTCCCCACTACCCCACTTTATTGTTCACCACATCAAATGACTGGTTCTTCCTTATTCTCTCACCCCGTCGTCTTGCCCCCACTCGTCTTGCGGCTGCCAAAGCCGAATTGGAACGCATGTTAAAACTGGGCATTATCAGACAGCCTGAAAGTCCCTAGACATCACCGTTACACATCGTTCGTAAACCACGCGTGTATGATTACCGTCTTTATGGCGGTTATAGAATCCTGAATAATATCAACTTGCCCGATCAGTACCCGGTTCTGCATCTTCAAGATTTGTCGGCCCCCTATTTAGTAAGTCCATATTGCCAAGGATTGAACACATACTGTCTTTTTACTAAATCCCAGAAGGCGTTTCGAAGATGGTCCTCACCATACCTTCGGCTTTTTGAGTTCCTGTGAATATCTTTCAGACCCTGCGACACCTCATAAAAATTCCAGAGGTTCATCAATAAAGTACACGGTAGCATATCTGTTGTGTACGCCTATATTGACGACCTTTGGGTGAACAGATCTACCACCGAGGAATACGTAGAACATCTCGCAACAGTGTTTGACCGCCGCCAACATTTCGGCGTTGTCGTCAATCCTCAATGCATCTTCGATGTATCCTCCGTCGATTTCTATGTAAACCCGGTCGACGCTAACAGCATTCCTCCTCTACCTGCACAAGTTTGCGACCGTCCGTAAATTGCACTCTGCCTTTTTCCAAGCGTCAAATCTGTAGCGGTCTAAGTAGTGCTTGTACTCGGATCACTACAATCATTAGATCAAATCCCAGGTTGGAAGTTAAAAGGCAGAAGTCACTAGAAGGAGTGATTTATTGTGTACAGAACTCCCTATTGCTGTCTCAGGTGACAGTGGCCACTACCGAAACCAAGTCTAGTGTTGACTGCGTCCAACTAGACCTGATAGAGCACAGGACAGTAGCAACAACTGCTTAACTAGGATTACGGAGCAGGTTCAAGTGTTCTGTTATTGGTGTATTGCAATTGTCCGAGGAAATGTCGCCTGTAAAGGTCTTTGCTGTATCAACCGAGAGGTGGTGTATTCAAGTGGCCCTGACGCAGACATGCTTATTTGGACGCGGGTGTGTGTGCATGGGTGTAATAAGCTGAGGTCAACTGTGGGGGTCGCCGGAACGCCGAAGGACAGGGGACGCTGGACAGCTGTTATCTGTTAGCCAGAAGCAGTTGCGAGGTCAAGCCTCGGGGACGAAAATGCCAGTTGCTTGTGACGACGCATGACTTTGGGACAGCGAGCATTGGGGAACGAAGGGAGGACAGGCATTGTGGCCGTCCACCACAAATTCACCGTTTTCTGGATAAGGTGAACTTCTACCGCCGGTACCTTTCGAACTCTGTTAATACTGTTTTGCCGCTCAGTATTCTCCTCCGATCTCCCAAACGTTCATTCGAGCTACCCACATACGTCCTCTCTGCTTATGAAAAGTTAAAGTTGCCCTAGTCAATGTCACGCCGCTGGCGCACTCTGCCCATGATACTCCCATAACCGCACGGTTGGCGCCTCAAATGCTGCAGTCGGTGCGGTTCGTCAGCAGCCCGCTACAGCTGAGACCCAACATTTAGATTTATTCTCTACAAATTTAAAATCTGCCGAATCGCGTTACAGCACAATTTGATGGGAACTAATGGCTCTTCACTTGTCGTAGACGCTCAGGACACTCACTCGAGGGCAAATAATTCATTGCATTATCCGATCACAAAGCCCTTTCTTACGCCTTGAAGCCATACTCTGATAATCTGAACATACAAGAAATTAAACAACCGGACTATATCTCGCAGTTCACCTCAGACATCCGCCACATCAATAGGTCATGTGATGAGGTGGCTGACGCATCATCCAGATCCTCCGTCGCCCATCTGCAACTAGCTTCCGGGATCTACCTAGCTCAACTAGCTGCCGAAGAACACCGTGTCGGTTCGCCCTAAGATGAGGATATTTCCGGACTGAAACTCCAGGAATTTCCACCGAATACTGGAAACGGTAAAATTCCTCTGACTTCTCAAACGCATCCAATCGTCCATTTTACCCTCAGGCATTCGCCGTAAACTGCTCTCCGGTCTGCACAACCTTTCTCACCACATTGTATTTATTTTTACCACAGCACTAAGTTTGCAATGACGAGGCCCTCCGGG